TGCAAATATCTTCTCCCAAGTGAAAATGAACTGTTGGGACTTTATCGAGATAAAAAGCTTCTGCACAGCAAAGGAAATAGTCAACAAAACAAAGAGGCAACCCACAGAATGGGGTTATTGTGCACATTACAACTGGTCTCATTTGCAGCTGCATGGCAAAATACCTCAATAAAAAGTTTTCTGTTTTTCCTCAGCCATGTTAAGATTAGTCGGGAATCATTCTAGACTGAGTTCTGAATGTGAATATGAAATAGACCGATCTCTTAGACTGGAGGACTGACAGACACATGGAGGACTTTCGGTAGTGTAGAGGAGGGGACTGGGTCTGACAGTGTAAGCAGGGGAGCCTTCCTGGAAGAGGTAATGTCTGAGCAGTGTAACAGAGGGTCTAAGGATCCTAAGCCCAGCTCCCTCCCCACAAGCCCTGTGGTTTGAGGCTAGTTTCTTAACTTCCCTAAACACCAGTTGCCTCACCTACAGCTAGAGTGATAGTATTTGGCTCACAGTTTGGTACCCGTGGGCTTTCAGGAAATTGCACCATCCTCCTCTTTTTCCATTTCCCTCTCCTTCCGCTTTAGTGTTTACACTCGAATGTGGGGGGTTGCCCGTTTGAGTTTCAGTTTATACTCTCTCCCTTGGTCACCTTGCCTGCAGCCCTGTCTCACGCAGGCTCCCACTCAGTCTCCTGGTATGCTCATCTCACACTCTACGTGTGCACACAGACCCCTGCCAAGGCAGTTTACATTCAGCCACTGTGCAAACAAATTTGTTATTTCTTCCCTAAACTCCCTCTTGACTCTGAAATGGATAGTTCTTCTAAATAGGGCCCCTGGTCTCACAGACACCAAACCTCTGAGTCATCCTTAACGCTTTTTCCCCCCCTTGTTCCTTATCTAATCACTCAGCAAATTCTGTGGGTTCTTCCTTCAAAACTTCTTCCATCAGAACAGACAGGAACACTTACGTGGTTATAGTAATTGTGTCAGGGGTTTTGTAGGGTAACAAGACTGTTTCTTTATTATAGATTTATTCATTTGAAAACTAAAATTAAAGACATTTCCATTCTCCAAACTTAACAGCGTGAACTATTGCACAGTTAGGGAAATTGGGTCTTTCCTGACAGTCGCTCCCACGGCAGCGTCTTGCACAGAACTTCCAAGCCAACCTGGGACTTCCCTGCTTAAGATCTTCAACAGTCCCTCAGTGCTTCCGAGTCGCAGAAAAGGAAGAAGGCTCGTGTTTAAAGCTCTCACACCTTTTCGCAGCCTATCTCTCAGGCTCTTCAACCCCTTCTTCCATTGCTCCAGTTCACTCCCCCACGTTCTCCCTTAAGCCTCTAAATATTCTTGGAATCAACTAACATTTTCCTGACTGCAAACGTGTGCTCATACCATTCTTATCACCTTTCATATTTTTTCCCTATTGCACTGATGTTCATTCGTCACATTTAGCTGAATCACTAGGCCGGTTATCTTCCTCCACCCCAATGGCCATGGTCTTTTCTCTCTTTTTGATCCCCCACGCTACATTGGCTGTGGCATTCTCTTAACATTAATCACATAAAACCTGCCTAGTAGATTATAGATTCTTGGACACAAGTATTGGCACATTCTTAATGTGCCTCTGAATACAATGTGCTCCCTGGTTTATTAAAAGTCTTTGAGGGCGCCTGGGTGGCTCAGTTGGTTAAGCAACTGCCTTCAGCTCAGGTCATGATCCTGGAGTCCCCGGATTGAGTCCTGCATCGGGCTCCCTGCTCAGCGGGGAGTCTGCTTCTCCCTCTGACCCTCCCCCCTCTCATGTGCTCTCTCTCTCTCATTCTCTCTGTCTCAAATAAAAAATAAATAAAATCTTTAAAAAAAAATAAAATAAAAGTCTTTGATTTAGTCATTATATGGTTCCTGGGACAGAGTGAGAGCCATGATCCTTAACCTCTGCCAAAGTCATACACTTATTTGCTGTTTTTTAAAAATATTTTTGACATAATTACATAAACTTATTGTTTTGGAATTGGAAAGCTCTATAGAGACTATTTCAGCCCCATACTCTTGTTTAGTCAGTATAGGAATGAGGCCTTAAGGGGTAGAGTGACTCAATGAGAACACACAGCTAGTTTTTGGGGAGGTCAAGTATGAAGACTTGGGTCAACTGCTGACACCGGAAGCAGCTGGGTTCCCAAAGCACTTCCCAAAATACCAAATTCAGTGTCCTCTACACAGAAGAAACCTTCGCCAACTGGGTCCAATGAAAAGAATGTAGTGATGTAGAGTTGGAGAAGTACAGATTTTGAAATCAGACAAACTCGGTGTAGATTCAGGCCTGGTCACTTATTAGCTTCATGGATTTTGGAAAATTACTAAGCTGTTCAGCTTTTTTCCTCATCTGTAAAATGTGGGCAATTATCTCCACTTGGTGAAGTGGTGTTGGTGAAATGGTGTCATGTGTATGAAGTGATTGGAACACAACACATTGAGGCCATTATTTAAAATAATTCTCAGTAAGTTACAAACTTGTATATTTCATTTTTCTTAATGCATAGAATTTCGTCACAGATCTTTTTTTCTAAATTGAGAAATGGATAGTGGATTTCTTTCTTTCCCTTTGCTCTCAGAATGTTGAAATTTTGGGGGGTAGTCATAGTATTACTAAAAAGCCCCACCCAGTTACTCACGGAAAAGTTGCTTTTTTTAAAAAAAAAGTATTATCAAGAACAAAATATTTTAGAAGGTGAATGTGTACAGCACTTAGTGTAGCTAAACTGGGTGCTAGAGATCTTTTTTTTTTAAAAAACACTATCCAGAGCTTATTGTTTTCCTGGATAAAAAAGGTATTACATTCACTTAATAAACACTTAGCTCCAACAAGCCTTGCTTGAAGTTAAGTCTTCAACTCCATAACTGGCCTTGACCTTCAGCTCTTTTCCATAATGCCACCTTGCCTTTCACACCAGTTCTATGAGCTCAAGAAGGAATAAAGACTGCCTGCCTGTATAATGGTGGGACAGAAAGGAATGGTGGATAAAGTCATGGGAGAATAAACAAAGATCTGGTATCAATTCTAAAACACTGCTGGGCCCTGATATACTTTGTGTTTTTATATCACATACGGAAGTAAAAGCAAGGTGTTTTAATATCAAATAGGATCATGCTAGATAACTTTATTTTTTTTAAAGATTTTATTTATTTGAGAGAGAGAGCACAAGAGGAAGAGGGAGAGGGAGAAGCAGACTCCCCACTGAGCAGGGAGCCCGATGTGGGGCTCGATCCCAGGACCCTGAGATCAGGACCTGAGCCGAAGGCAGATGCTTAACTGACTGAGTCACCCAGGTGCCCCAATGCTAGATAATTTTAAAAGTCCCTCTACTCAACTTCTAAACTCTAGAATGTTTTAATACTGATAGGTTTCCATGAAAACCTATAGGAGTTCCTTTCTTGGAATCCCTATACAATTGGCTCCAGCATTGGGTAACACAGGGTTTATTCAGTTCACTACAGTAAGCATGAGCCAGAGAAACAGAGAAAACTGTTGTCTTCCTTCCTATAAAGCTCTTACTAACCGAAAAAGAGTGATCAAAAACATTTAGGAAAGAATATCATTACTGGAGCCACAAATAACCTCCACATCTGATCCATGGACTATGGCGGCATATTTCCAAGTTGAGGATTTCATTTAACCAGGGAAGGTATTTGAAGGAATAGGAAACCTAGGATGGAGTCTGCTAACCAGACTGATGTGAATTACTAAAGGGAAATGTTCTTGGGGTTACTCTCCATAAAGATGATGTCCTTTTGTGTTTTTGACAGGGACTGTGCTGGACTGGGGGGAAGGAGAGACCTTTACTCTGACCAGCCCCATATAGATTTGTGCTGCCCAGTGTAATCACCTGGATGCTTTAAGTAATCCTGCTGCCCCCTTCCTTCCCATCCCCAGAGATTCTAATCTAAGTAGTCTGAGGTGTAACTTGAGCGTCTGGATTTTTTTTTTTTTAAGCTCCCCACGTGACTCTAATGTGTGGCTAGTCTTGCAAACCACTGGAATATACTTAAGGTCTTCTAACAAACCTTCCTCTTAAAACCACCACCCTATCATTTCGTTTTCTGGCGCTTGGTTTTTGTTTGGGCATTTTTCTCCCCTCGCATCACACACGCACACTCCACGGGATGGTGCATTTCTTCCAGCAGTCGGACTAGAATAGCCCCAAAGTGGAATTCATGAGCTGTCCTTGGTAAATAAGGAGAACCCTGGCGAGGAAAATGATTCCCACCCAAACATAGTATGAACAATGGTCACTCCTTGCTGTGTTGCTTGACCTGTTTTCTTGGGCCATTTCCCACTTGCTGTTTTCAGATTACGGAATGTGCTAGGAGACCACACACTGTTTTTTCCCATTCCTTGTTGGCATTTGACAGACCTCCAGTTGAAGGCACCAGGTCCCTGGGTGGGCACTCTCTCTCAGTTTCCAGGGGCTACCTGGGAATCCACCGCACCTTCTACTCAGCTTGGCAGCACTCATGAGCGCTAAATTTTCTCTTAACCTAATTCAGATTTCCAGGAAGCGAAGCCCTGGCCGCTTGAGCCACGCCCCTCTCCTCCGCCCCCCGCCCCCCAAGTGTTTTGTTTACTTGGAAAGTAGATATTTACATTTCCAGATGGGAGCTCGGCGCAGGCCCCACCCCAGCAAAGAGCAAAAGGAAGTCCAGGCGACCGGCCAGAGAGCCCCTCTCCCGGCCCATTATCCCCCTTCCCATTATCCCCCTTCCCCAGTCTAGGGTCTCTAGGGGAGGGAGCCGCGAGAGTCCCCCGCCCTCGCCCTGCCCGGCACCTGGTGCGAGCTAAACTCTCCTCCACGAGTCTCTTCGCCCCACCCTTTGTGATTCAGAGCCCCAACCCTGCCCAGGAGCTAATTTAACTCGCCTGGCGCCACAGCCGGCGCTGCTGCTTCTTACAGCTCCTTGCTGTAGCCCGCTTCCACTTACTCCGGGTCCCCGGCCCCGCGCGCCATGTGCGTCCCCGGCGGGCGGAGCGCGCCGCCGCCGCTGCTCCTGCTGCTGCTATTGCTGGGTCCACCTGCGGCTCAGGGTGAGCGGGGGCTGGGGGGCTCGGCCCGGCCGGGGGAACCCTTAGGCTGGGTGGGAGGGGCTGGATCCGTCTCCGCGACGACCGAGAAGTCTGGGGACCGGGGGAGGTGAGGAATGAGGGCATGGGTAAATCGTTCCCGTAATCCTCTACCCTTAAGGCTCGGAGCTCCTACTGGCACGATCCCTTGGGGACAGGGAGAGGATCTCCGGGCTGTTCTGCAGTGTGGGGTCTTGCTGTGCTGGACCCCAGCTAGCACGGCTTCAGGAGTGAGGTGGGGACCGTTGAGGAAGCGCGGGCTGAGTTTGCGGATCAGCCAAACCTGGGGAAGCCAAAGGGCAGGGCTCAAAGAGTGAATTCTCAATCCCCCAACATCTCTTTAAGGGTGGCAGACCAGAGTTGACCACTGTCACCTCTTAAACAGAGTCCAGTTGTGTGCTGCACGGGACGCTACCCGTTAGCACGTCTTGTCTTCCAGGTGGAACGTTCCACGGGGGCGTCTGTCTTTATTGTGTGCTTAGTAACAGTATCAATGTGGAGATCAATTCTAAACCACTTTTTTTTTTTTTAATAATGAAAGGGAGGGGTTGATTCTGTCCTTATTTTAAGACTGCATTAATTGACAAGACAGGCAGCCTAGCAAATTCTTGGTATGTCGGTTCAGCACTGTATGGAAACCTTACCTGTGCATCAAAAGCCTTGGCTGCTTCCCTTACTCCTCTTGCAAAAGGAATGTTGCTATGAACTGAAAAGTGTTATTTCCTTCAGTTCTGTTTTTTCTTTTCTTTTTTTCTTTTTTCCTCCCTAGGTGACTGCAACATTCCCCCAGAGGTACCTAATGCCCAACCAACTTTGGGAGGTCTCTTGAGTTTTCATGAAGGAACCACAGTAACATACAAATGTAATGAAGGCTTTGTAAAGGTTCCTGGCAGGGCCGACTCAGTGGTCTGTCTCAACAATAAATGGTCAGAGGTGGCAGAATTCTGTAACCGTAAGTTCTTCATTTTTGTATATATAAGTTATGGGAATGGAATGTACCGCGTTAGCTTAATTTTATCCCTCTTCGGCGTGAGTGGTAATTGATAGTTTTCCAAGCATTAGGAAACCCCAGGGTATATATACCTGGCACTTCACACTGCAGCTAATTGACGACAGTACTTCCCAGAATAGGTCCTGCTTCTTCCTTAACAGGTTTGGGCTTTCTGTTGTTCTCTCCCCCACCCTCCGCCCCCACCTAATGCTGTACCCCCTGAACTAATAGACAAAATAAACAATAGGTACAATTTAGGAAGTAAATTATATATGAAGATGTTTGGCAATCACCTCGCGACACATAACATAGGTCTTCTGTGTTCTTAAATTTCATTTTGTAAAGTAGGACTCACCAAATACAACTCTGCGGTAGCATTTTAAAAAGTTCTCTGTATTTCCCTCAAAATCTATCACTAGATGCATAGTCCTATATTAACTTTGACAGAGACAAATAAAGATAAAGATGAGACTTGGTTCCTAGCTTTGGACAACCTGGAGTAATAGAAGGTACAGGAAATATAGAAACTGCCACAAGTATTTTGTGAAACCTGTGAGAAATCAGCTTGAACCTTTGGGTTTTGTGTGTGCAGGATAGAAGGCAGTGGTTGAAGCACTTAAGCCTTTGCATGTGTATCATGTTTTAGAGTTTATAATGCTTCTACATAGCTGACTCCATTGACTCCTCCATGAGTGGACAACTCCATGAGTGGAGTAGGGACTCTTATCCCCATTTTTCAGTAAGAAGTAGTCTGGGGAAATAGTCCCCCAGAAGTTAAGTAACTTCTTGAAATCACCAGTTCTTATGCAGGAGAGCCAGGGTCCAAACTTGAGTCTTTGGACTATAAAGTCCATGTCCCTTCCACTGTACCATGCCTCTACACATTCACATTTGCCCAGATGTTTACCGTTTATAAATACTTTTATGTATACCCCTGGCTCACCTCATCTGTTGCCTTCTGGGTTGTTGTGAGGATGAAATGAGTTTATACATATACAACATTTAGAGGTATTCAATAAATATTAGCTATTATTGTTACTGTTATTGTTGTTGTTCAGGACATTAGCCCCAGGGGTCTGAGGAAATACTGGTCCTCCTCTCACCCCGTCCTCCTTTGGGCAGGTAAGGGTCAGTGGCAGAACAGTGCCAGGCAACTAAAATGTGTTATATTTCCTGAATTGTGGGCATAGTGATATCTAGGTACCAAATTTACTAATTAGGAAATAGAAATATATACGTGAATGTGCTTGACACACTGTAAATGTTGTAGTGATATTACTATAGTTAAATATCAAATATGTACAAAGAAGTACAGAAAAAGGGGTGATATAAGGACCAAATAATTCTGGATAATTAAACATAAATTATCAAATAAGGTGATATTAGTTACGTTGTTGCTTTTGTTAATACTTTTAGGTAGCTGTGATGTTCCAACCAGGCTACTTTTTGCTTCTCTCAAGAAGTCTTTTACCAAACAGAATTATTTCCCAGCGGGTTTCATTGTGGAATATGAATGCCGACCTGGCTTCCAAAGGGACCGTTTTTTCTCAGGAAAACTAATTTGCCTTCAGAATTTTACATGGTCCAAACCAGATGAATTTTGTAAAAGTGAGTATAATTTTACAGAGTATTCGTAATCATATGGTATTTGGGGAAATAGTATTTCTTCCTTCATTCAAATTGCTGGAAGTCTGTGTGTACATATTATTACTTCGAATGATTCTGAAAAGAACCATTAGAGTAATTTTATAATTTTGTTTTAAATTAGGCCAACTAAATACTTGTGAGATGGGAGTATTAATTTATTCACATTTAATTTGTTTGAGGTTACCTAAGATGTAATAAGCATATATTCTAAATATGGTGTTTTATTTGAAACTTACAAAATGAAGGAAGGATTTTAAAAAGGCTGAGGATAAGAAATGTCAATAGTTCTATGCAAATGATGGATTTGCATAGAAGTGCCTGATAATTTAATGAAAAAAAAATCAATTTGTGTTCCCCTCTAGAAAAATCATGTCCTAATCCTGGAGATTTAAGACATGGTCATGTCAGTATACCAACTGACCTATTATATGGTTCATCTATCTCCTTCTCGTGTAACGAGGGGTAAGTTTGGCATTCTACATATTTATACTCTATATTTAACAAATGTGAAAACAAATTAGGACTTAAGATGGAAGTTTTTAGACTTGTGGTCAGTGTTTACAAGCTAGTCTCAATAAAACAACTCCTCTGCTCAAAGGTCTTTCATCATGAGCTCATCATGGTTAAATTTAATAAAATGGGGGCAAGAAAGGACAATTTCTTATAACACTGAATTCTCTCACTTGTTAGATTTCAGTACGTATATGATTCATTATAAAATTTTAAATGTGATTAGTAAAGGAAAAAACCTGTAATATGTTGGCACTTGCAGAAATTATATGCTTCAAGTGTTCAAGTGAAACACATCCTTACTTTACCTAAATAATGAATTTGCATTTTTTTCTGTATGCAAACTGCCTGTTGCAAAATATTATGTGTTAAAAACATTTACTCCTAGCATAAAAATATCATGCTGACCTGAGGTCTTTTCTAAGTTCTCTATGTAGGGAAAAGGAACTCACTCTTTGGGTATCATCAGTGTCTCAGAGACTGCTGGAAACTTTATGTTCATTTTCTCATTAAATATCTGCATATTGAATTATGATATTTTACTCTCTGTGTGTGTGTGTGCCTGCTCTTTATAAAATAAAAATATCAACATCATGTGTCTCCTGTATGCAACAGAGATGCTTGGATCATTAATATGATTAATATCAAATCTGGGGAGTACTTTGAGCCTTAAAATATAAATATGTTCTATTATTCTATGAAGCCTCTGTTGATCTTTTAGAATTCAGAAATATAAAATATTCAAGCATCTATATCACTTTAAAATGTTTCAAAGTACTTTCCTGTTTTCTCATGTGGACCCCACCCAAATAAAAAAAACATTTTGTATGTCTTACACTTTTGTATCCTTTGGATATCACTTTTTTAATTTAATTTTTTCTTTCCCTTTAAACTGCCATGTGAACTTTGATCAACTTGTTTTGTCTCCATCTACTGGTGTAGTAAATATTTTAAGATGATATTTTGGAGAATTTAAGGGAAGCCAAACTTGTGGATGGAACCTAACTTTTTTTCTCCCCTCATTGCTTTAGGTACAGGCTAGTTGGTGAAACTTCTAGTTACTGTTCCCTTGTAGACGAGGATGTTGGGTGGAGTGATCCATTTCCCAAATGCCAAGGTAAGACTGAAAAAAACCTTAGCACTCTAGTTGTGAGGCTGAATAGTCAATGGTAAATTACTTTCTCTCATGAAGAATTATTCACATTGTGTATTTGTAGTACCCTCACCTTCCAGTGTAGGAGTGTCTTAGCTAATTTAAAGATCTTTATTAGTAACGTTTCTTAATTTATTAGCTGCAGAGATAAAGGATTAGAAAAACCCAACAAACTCCAAAACAAACAAACAAACAAAACAAATAAACAAAACCCCAGCAAACAGGTGTATATTGTGGTTGGTCATTTATTATCCTACCTTTCCTTCTAACAATCAAGCAAAATAGATACAGGGTTTTTCTTCCCCATAATTTTTAATTTTATGAATTAAAATACTCTTGATCAGAGAGTCTGTATGACCTGAACCTACATCCCAAAATAAGTGGCAAGAGAAGGCATTTAACCCAGACCTCTGGACATCAAACCCATCATTTTTCTAGGACTCAATGTTGCCTCATTCAGGATTATGGACTGAGCTAATTATCTATAAATGTTTTGAAATGGGATTGATTTTTCATGACTAGAGAAATAAGGTTATACAATAAAGAAGAAATATGATTTCTGCACTTGAAAATCTTATCTTCTTAGAGGGAGATTAGGACATAGAAATAGTATCATAAATGCATGTATCCAGTCAAATTTATATCCACTAGAGGCATATGTCTCCTGAAAATTGAGAGGAGTAAAATATGTGCAGCATATTTCTTTTTTTCTTAAGAAAAAAATGCACCATTTAAAAATGTAGGCTTTATTGTTTCTCCCATCTTTGCTAAAAGGTAAGTTTTGGGTGTTATTAGAAGCAGAAAACTAGACTAGACTTAGTGAATTTGACAAGCGTGTCTTGATTGACACCCTGCGGTAGGGAATGTATGGGGTCAGTTGATATGAAGTTATGATATGAAGACAAATAAAATGAAGTCTTGCCAATCAAGAGCTTGCAGGTGTAAGCTGGTCACACCCAGATACCCCTTCACACCACACACCACCTTGAGTTCTACCCTCCTATGTCTGCTACTTCTCCTTTTTCTCATTATTAGTACTTTGAAATTTTCAGCATTACTACCCACCACCCACCTTTCCCATTTCCGTCATCTAGTAAGGGATGTTGTAAGTGATACTAAAGTGAGTTTGGACAGCAAACTTTACTCGAATAGGCATCCCCTCTGGCACTGTGAGAAGCCTCTGATGCATGTAAATGCACAACATGGCCCACACACCCAAGTCATGTACCGTGGGACCTCCCCCCACCCCCATGGCACTGAACTTTGGACTACAGGTGTACACAACAATCAGGACCATGTGATACATATACTAAAATTGGAACAATACAGAGAAGATTAGCATGGCCCTTGCTCAAGGATGACACACAAATTTGTAGTGTTCCATATTAAAAAAAAAAAAAAATATGGACCAGGAGAAAGGACCTTTTCAGGCCCTGCAGGGGGGAATTCTGAGGGCCAGTTCCTAGAGCAGAATTTACAATGGGGTGGGGGAAGAGCTCTCAGTGAGCACACCTTCAGCCCTGCAGATACCCCACTGGTAAGGAGAAGCACAGTCAGAAGAGGGCCATAGCCTCTTAAAGTGTAGCAGCTGGGGCAGGAGTTCCACTTGCCTGAGTTCAAAGGTGACACTGATTGCATTGGCCCCCATCCTCCATTCTTGGACTCCATTAATGTTTCATCCACATTCTACACAGAGTGATCCATCTGAAACACGGATGTGATTTATCTCTTCCGTCTTAAACTTATACATGTCTCCTCATCACTTACGAAGTCCAAACTCCTTAGTAAAGCATATGAGGGTTGCCATGGTCTACCCACTTCACACTCATGTCTTGTCCTCATACTTTATGCTCTATCCATGCAAACCTCCCTACATCTTTCCTTCTGTTACTGCCCCTGCCTAGAATGTCCTTCAGCCCCTTCTTTGCTTAGCTTTTCTTTTTCTTTTGTTTCTTTGTTTCTTTTCTTTCCTTTCCTTTCCTTTCCTTTTCTTTTCTTTTCTTTTCTTTTCTTATTAAGGGTTTGCTCTGATAGACCTTCTAAAAGGTTTTGCTGACCTCCCTGCTGGCTAACTGTTCTCTCTTTCCACACCATGGTGCACACTTCTGTGATAAGCCTCGCTATTTTGTGTTAAAATGAAAATCTTTGAACTTTTTGTCACTATATTTTTTTTCTTTTATTTTAAGATTTTATTTATTTATTTGAGAGAGAGAGAGCACAAGCAGGGGGAGCAGGAGAGGGCAGGACTCGATCCCAGAACCCTGGAATCGTGACCTGAGCTAAAGGCAGACAATTAACTGACTGAGCCACCCACGCGCTACTGTCACTATATTTTAACAGCTACTACTGAGTATTTTATTTAGTTTTGCAATTCCGTTTGTGGAACAGTGCCTGGTATGTGTTAGGTGCTCAGAAAATCTCTGAACGGCACTGATGGTGACGTGCAGGTGGCCTGCACCTTAGCCTCACGTAAAGCCGATTAACCTCCTGTTCCTTGCTTCAGTCAGTGGCCTAAAAGTTTGCTCATAGTCTCTGGTTACTTAAGGCCACTCGATGTAACATAATTGATGTACATACATGATCACATTGCTTTCCTGGCTCTAGACAATGTGGATCCATTGCATTTTTTATCAGGGCTACTGCCAAGGAGGGGCTTCTAGTACGGTTTTCCGAGTGCCGCTGCTCAATACGTTTACTTTAAGTAAAAGGCTGTGTGTCAATGTATGCTGAATAAAATTTGATCCTAAAAGTCAAAATGTAATCCTGACACTTCAGATATTTCACTCTGTCAGAATCATGTATTCCTATTTCCCAAGTATGCCACCTGACTTCTAGGCTCCTTCCATTTGGCATCATTTTCCCCTGGAATGCAGAGCAATGCCCTCTGCTTTGCTCTCTTAGCAGAAGGGTATGTCTCAGTATCACACTCAAGTTCCATTTCCTCCTTAACATCTCTACCCTGCTTTCACCAACTCTGAACTCCGGCAGTATGGGCTTTTTCTAGCACAATGTGATGTGTAACGTGTGAGGACTTTACTGTAATTTTTGCTTCGCATATATGTTCTAGATCTTATTTCTATACATTGGTCTCAAAGTTAGCATTCATGCTTTACACCATTTGTATCCAGAGCTCCAAATACACTACTCATTACTTAATAGGTATTTCTAAGCTACCTGGTTGATAATGCTGAATTTAGAAAAATGGTAGATTTTTACTTTTTTTAAATAAGTTATTTAACATGTTTTACTCTTACTTATTAAAGTAAATAATTGGCAGTTTTATTAATGTAAAATATGTTGGAATTTTTTTAAAGAAATTTTTTGTCCAGAACCACCAGAAATTAGCAATGGATTCATTCTGGATCCACGGGACACTTATGTGTATCAACAGACTATAAAATATAGATGTAATGAAAGCTTCACCCTGATCGGAAAGAACTCTATTTATTGTACTGTTAGAGGTGAACAAGGAGAATGGAGTGGCCCGCCACCTGAATGCAAAGGTAATAAGTTTGCATTGTTGTATTTTTGTTTTATTTATACCTTTAGGTCTATATATGGGCTACAGAGATTCTATGAACTCCCTGAGAAATGAATGGAAAATGTGGTACATATGCATATTTTTATTTTTCTGGGGGGCGCAATTTTTCATCAGATTCTCAGAGGGGTCTATGACTTCCAAGGAAGGAGGAAACACTGATATGGAGAATATATGGTAATGTATGAATAAATAAATAAATGCATACACACACACAACGTAGAGCACACACACACGTACACGTAACATGTCTCACGTTTTTAGTGAGTCAGCTTGCATTTGCTATTTCTTACCATATCACCTTCAATAAGTTAATATTAATACGAAAGGTAAATAAAATGGTTTATTTCCTTCAGTTGGGAGGGAATCTTAGACTAAAGTGAGGGATCTAGATAGTGATCCCAGTAGGCGGTATTTAAGCAATGTGATATGTGATGCCAGGGTGACTTGAGCTCCCTTTATAATTATACTTGGAATTATGTTAGCATGAATTTTTAAATATCAGTGTTGGTTGAAAACAGTTGTTTGTTATAAGTGGCATACATCAACAGGGAAGTAATATTAAAACCATGCAGACGGGTATAAAATGTAAAGTAAAAATCTCTCTGTCCCTACTCCTTCTCTCAGAAGTAACCATCATTCACAGATGTTTGCATTTGATTCTAGAAAATAAACATACATACACATATTTATATTTTTAATCATAGCAGTTGTATGAATATATCATTTATTTAACCTACTGAGGGAAATTTAGTTTTTGATTCTAGTTTGTTTGTGTTTTTTTTAATTATTATTATCTTTTCTAATAGAAGATGCTGCAACAAATATTGGGCATCTGGAATTGCACAAGTGTGCAAGTGCATTTTGTACAGTAAATTCTTTGCAGGGTAGTTACTGGAACAAAGGTACATGCATTAAACTTTTGACAGATGTCACCAACATTGTTTCCAAAGAAACTGTAACAGTTCACTGTCCCAGCAATAGTGCTTCACTGTGCTGGCTCTCTGCACCCCTAATGGTTATTATGATGTGGAGATGTGACAACTGCGTGGTGAAAATTTCATTATATTGTCTGAATTAATTTAATTATGGGAGAAATTTGATATGTGTTTGCTTCTTAATCTGGCTATGTGACACACTTCATATTTATTTTCCCCTGTTTTATTAAATTATCAGTTATTTAGAGCTTAAAAATCTAGGGTAGTGCCCAAGTAGGCCATGGTAGGCCAATATTTCCTTTATAATAACTACAAAATCTGGAGAGATTTTTTTTTTAAGTCATATTTTGAAAGGCATGACATACAAGGGTGGGAAAAACCAGGACTAAATGAACTAGAATTCCTGGGGGTGGAGAGTGAAGGCAAGCCACCCTGAGGTGCACCTGGGCTGGGGGTCCATCGTGACCTGCTTAAAAGACCACTGCCAGGAAAGAGAGAAACTGGCAAGCTTTTAGTGGTTGTGGTGGGCTAGAAAAACATACTGAAAATTGAGGTCCTCAATGCAGAGCCAGTTTTTCCCAAGGGCCATTTGCTGATTTCTTGAGCTGCAGGGGAGACTAGGGGTTAGACCCAAAGCTTCCAAGTACAAAATACAATCTCTCAGATCCTTCTGGTATTTGGGCAACAAATATCAGAGGAAGAAGCTTGGATCAAGCATACACTCCTGTTCCCCTTAACACATTTGTGCCCATTTTGAAGCTGTGTGGGGAAGGAGGCTAGATTGCTGGGCTGGGGACTCCTGAAGGGCAGACCTGCGTCTCCCACAGTTTCTCAGGGCTGAGGAAACAAAGATTCCCGGGCTGTCAAGGAAAACCCCAGAGGGACAACTCCCAAGGAACAGAGGCAAGAGTAGAAGTAGACTGAGTTTTACTAAGGCTGAGACCCAGCTCAGTCCCTCCTGGGCTGAGGATGTGATCACCTCCAACCAGTCTGCCTATCAGAAAAAGGGACTCTCTTGGAAGATCATACCATCTGACTGTTTTATATACAATGTCTATAATACAATAAAAGAGTTACTAGAAATGGAGAGAAGTAAGAAATTATAACCAAATCAGGGGAAAATAAATCCAGATAAAGGAGATCCAGATAATTGAGTTAGCAGATGAGGACTTTAAAATCAGTGGTTAATATGTTTAAGGTATTAAAGGAAAAGAGAAATAGAGAATTTCAACAAAGAACTGGAATCTATAAAAATAAAGTAGACGTTCTACAACTTTTGAAAAATATACAATCTGAAATGAAGAGCACAATAGGTTTAACAGTGATTTGGACACAGTATTAGGAACAAGAAGGAAGATTCATTAATAATGCCCAGAAGCACAAAGCGGCGGGGCGGGGGGCGGGGGGGGAATGTAAAATATAGATAAAACTTTAGGAGATATTTGAGACATGTTAAACTGTCCTAACATAGGTTAGCTAAGAGGAGAGACAGAAAGAGAGAAAGAGAAACAGAAGTATTCAAAGAGATGACAGAATGCTCCAAAACTGATGAAATACATCAACACATTCCAAAGGTTCTCAGGACTCTTAGCAGAATAAAAATAAAACCACTTCCCGGCATGTCATGGCAAAAATTTTGGCAACTCAAAACAATGATAAAAGCATCAAGAGACAAAAAGACAACATTATCTTCAAAGGAGCAACACTATACCTGATCACAAACTTCTCAACAAAAATTATGGAATCCAAAGACAATGAGAAGAAATCCTTCAAGTTAAGGATAAGAAAATGACTGCTCACCTAGGAGTCTTTACCCAATGAATATATGCTTTAAGACTGAATGCCAAATGAAGATGTTCTCAGGCGAAAACTACGGGAACTTGTCACCAGAAGACCAGACCTGCACAGAACAACAAAGTAAAAGCATTGCTTCAAGTAGAATGAAAATAATCCCAAGTAAAACATGAAAATGCAAGAGGAAATGAAGAACACTAGCAAAAGTACATGAATAGGTACTGTACAAAATGATAAATGCATTGTCTTCTAGGGTTTGATGTGTATGCCGAATCCAAGTGTATAATAGCAACAGAGCAACAGGCAATAAGAGGTAAATTGCATTTAAAAGTTACAAGGTTCTGGCAATACTAAAAAGTTGTAAAAATGTTAATTTGCATAACTGACTTATAGTCTAATACATACGGTAATCTCTAGGGCCGCCATGAAAATAATAGTGAAAGAAAGTATAAATCATAAGTAACAAAGGAATGATAATGAACACTTCATCCCAAAGGAAACAAGAGAGGAAGGGAAACATAAAATATATGGGTGGGAAAGCAAACTGATAGTAAGGTGTTTGCTATAAACCCAACTCTATCAGTAATTACACAGAGTGTAATTTAAGTAAGATTGTCAGACTGATAAAAAAAAAACCTATTTGCTATTTACAAGAGACACAATTTAATGATAAGAACACTGAATGGTAAAAAGTAAAGGATGGAAAAATATATTTTGTGAACAATTACCAAAAAAAAAATCTGGTGAAGTTCTATTAATATCAAAGAATACTTTAAGAGACAACAGTTCATAATGATAAATGGGATCCATTCAACAGGAATCTATCACAATCTGCGATCTGTGAGCACTGGAGAAAAAAAGTTTCAATCCACATGTAGCAAAAATTGGACAGAAAGAAAAATAGAGAAATCCATGATTAGAGTTTGAGTATTCTACACACCTATTTCAATAGCTGTTAGAATAAGCAACCAAAAATCAATAAGAGTATAGAAGCAACAGTTAAACTTTTTTTTAAAAAATTGACATATTAAGAGCATTGACCCCTATAAGGACAGATGGAAGAAGTTTTTTCAAGTGTGCCTGGAACATCGCCCGTAGGCTGGGGTCTAAATCACAGTGTAGTTCAGAAGATTGAAATAATCTGGAGCGTGCTGATGGCAATGGAATTGAACTAGACATCAAATAACAAAAAGGCAATGAGAAAAGCAATTTCCAGGACACTTACACTATACTAGCATGTAGGTCTTCTGGCTCAAAAATGAGAACTAACGTGGTGGGACAAAGAATAAGATTTATATATGAGCACCTTAGAGGAAAAGTCCGTATAAAATCTTACCCTAACAATACCATCTACCATTTTTTGAGGGCATCAGTCCTACTCTACTGGCTAGGTCTTCTCCGTGAGCTGTCCGGTCCCCCACCGTCCTCTGAGGTAGATAACAGGAAGCAGAAATAAATGATGCTGGGTGTCTGAGTGAGTGGAGCAGGATGTGTGTGCTGGTGGAGCAGGCAACTGCTCACCAGAATGGTAAAATGTGTTCCTTCAGAGACAGGCATTGTGTGAAGTGACTTCCCTAAATTATTTCTCTCATTCCTTACAATAATATTCTCAAATCTGCTGTTTTTATCCTCACTGTACAGATGAGAAAATCGCAGCTTAGCAGGATTAAAGAAGTTGCCCACAGTCTCCGGTGTGTGGTGAAGCAGGCAGCCCTTCTCAATGCTGCCTTAGGTGGGAGTGTGTAAGCGGCCCAAAGGCCGACAGGCACTGAAGACCTAAAACTGTACAAAATGGTTAGAGTTGTGATTCTCAGAATAGGATCTTAATCAAGGTTGCAATTCAGATATTTGTTACCTGATCTGCAGTCCAAAGAGGGACTAAACTAATATGTGTAACGTTGGTAACCAGCACAAGAGGAAAAAAGAGTTATTTATTTTTTTTTCAGATTGACTGTATTACTTTTAAAAAGGAGTAAAACAGAACAAGTTCCCAAGGTGACTAACATGTCCTGAAAGCATTGAGAAAAGGAACTATGTTGTGATTATCTCTGTCTGTCCAGTGGTTCTATCTGGTTCTTTGGTCTTGGCATGAGCAAAGGAAAACATTTTGTGAGAGAAAATATCTTAACTTGGGGTGTGTCACAGAATGAGATCACTACCAACTCTGACTTTGGTTTCTTTTCTTTACGTGGAAAACAGTTTAAAAACCTCAGTACTACTTTGGTGTAAACCCACTTTAGTTGGCTACAGGCATAATTTAGATCAAAGCAAAAACATGCAGTGTTTCAGTTCCTTGGGAAAATCGTAATTAGACTTGATCTCCTAAAAGTCATATTCATATTTAGGTGTTTGTGGGAGAGAAAGAGAAAATTCATAGAGCAAGCAATTTGTTCCTAAGTCTTAACTTGACAGCATTATTTAGCTAATATTTTTTAACATTTTCCTTCTATATAAGGTTCTCAGATTTCTAAGGTCACACCACCAGCTCAGAAATCCACCACAGTAATTGTATCAGCTACAAAGCCCACATCAACTCCTCAGAAACCTACCACAGCAAATGTTCCAGGTACCAAAGCTACATCAACTCAGAAACCCAGTATGGCAAATGTTTCAGGTACCAAAGTCCCATCAACTCCTCAGAAACCCACCACCATAAATGCTCCAGCTACAAAGGTCCCATCAACTCTTCAGAAATCCAACACAGTAAACGTTCCAGCTACAGAAGTCCCATCAACTCCTCAGAAACCCGACACAATAAATTCTTCAGCTGCAGAAGCCCTACCAACTCCTCAGAAACCCACCACAGTACATGTTTCAGCTACAAAGACCCCATCAACTCCTCAGAAACCCACCAGACCAAAAGATTCAGCCACAGCCAAAAAATCCCCCATATCAAATGCTCTATCCACAGAGACCCCATCAGCAGCCCAGAATCCCATCATGGCAAATGCGTCTGCTACACAGGCCATGCCAGTAACCCATAGATCCACCACAGCGAAAGCTTCATTTACACGGAGTCTTCCAGCAACACGAAAGTCCACTATTATCCATGCCGCAGTGACTAAGGGTCTCCATACAACAAAAAGATTGACCTCTGCTCATATTACAGCAAAACAGAGTTCCGCTACTCCCAAGACAACCAGCACACCTAATGGAAAAGGGACCCTCTCTTCAGGTGAGTCGACACTGCTCAGGTTTTCCTGAGTAGGGATCTGAGATGCTATGGTGGGAAGAGTTTTTCGTACTAACGCTCTTGACTTTCTTCAGAGGCAGATTGGGAGTATGCTAGGGTGAAACATTTTGCAATAATGTAGAAAAAGATTGGGGCTCCATAAAAACAATGCTAAGTTAAGCTTGGCAAAGAAATTCTGTTTTTTTTATATGAGATTTAGGTAGTCCTTGAATTCTTCAAGACCCTTAAGGGAACCAAATATATGTACCATCCTTATGGCCATTTTTTGGGTCTGGTTTGTTGATAGAGACCCATCCCTTAAGCATGCTGAAGGATCTCTCCAGATTCCATAGAGTTGCTTATTTGGTAAAGCATCTCAACAGTGTCTTCTAAGTAATTGAAAAGACAGAATTCTTTGAAATGGTCCACATTTACACAAGGGTCTTTGACAACTTTTGTAAAAGTGGAGTAAAATACGTTGTAGACTTCAAAAATACACGTAGAGTGAATGAATGAAACCCTTCTTACTAGTTACTGCTAAGCTTCGGGCTACCAGGATGTGCCCTTGTCTATTAACTTACCTAATGGATAGCCAAAATTTTTATAGATACTCTTATTCTCTATTAGAGATAACTATTTTTTTTTCAGTTCCTTGGAAAATCTCAACAGGACTGTGAGGCAAGAGATAATTTTTTTAAGTTGTTTGAACTTTTTAACTGAACTCAACACACACCCACACACCCACACACGCCCACACTCACACTGCATAAAACACCCATGTATGGCTCAATAACTTTTCTAAAGCAAATATTTGTGTAACCACTACCAACATCAAGAAATAAAATATTAGCAGCCCCCCAAATTTGCCCCCTCAAGTTCCAGATGCTCTGTCAGTGGTCCTGAACTTCATACTCTGACTAATCCTCTTACTTAGCCAGTACAACCCTGGCATTTTCTCCCTATACCGCATGGCCTAGGGTCTTCCCTCACTGCAAATATGCAAACCTCATTCCATACTGTTCTCCCTCTCTGGCTTTGACCCATTTCTGCCTGTCTTAGTTTGCCAGCCAGTGCCTTCAAATCATTGTTATGATTGCTTTTCCATATTTTGTCCAGATTTCATAATTGCTGTGATGAAGTCTGTTTTGCCATCATCACCCAGATAATTTTTAAGAGCTTGAAACATTACAGGTATCCTTGTTGAAATTTCCTTTGATATTCCATGATTCCCTTCTGTAAAAAACCAAATACATGCACATGCACAAAATCTTAACCCATTCCTGCCCGCTTTTGGTCATTCTTTGATGGTATCAAATAATCCTGGGTTGTTTTTTTTTTAAATAGTTTGACACATTGTGACCATATTTTCATAATGATTTTGTATATTTCACAGTTGTTATCTTGAAGCCTTTTTTGCCCTTACCTGGCTATTTTTAAGAATTTGAACATTATAGATATTATGTGTTGTGCCATTTCCGTTTCTCTCCCTCTGAGGCACCGACTGCCCTGAGCTTGGTGTTTAAGCATCCCTTCTATGTTTTAATTCTTACACTTGCACATGTGTATCCATTAGTAGTACATGATATTGTTTTGTTTGGGGTTTTTTTTTTGTAATTTACATCAGCAGTATCTTGTATATTTCATTATCTACCTTGGCTTTTGGCACTCCACATCAGTTTTATAGCTTGTGTTCACACCTTTAGGTCTAGTTCATTACTTTTAACACTTGTAGGAGTTTACTGACTTCTTCAATTTTCATGACCACTCTGGGCCTAAAAGTTTTAGGTTGAATACATCTGATTTTTCATAGAGCAAGGCGATGAGAAAGAAGTCTCACCTCACCAATATAAATTTGTTAGAGCGCTAACTTTGTTGAAATATTTTTCTGTAAAAAAAAAAAAATACAAGGTAATTTAACAAATTTAAACGAAACCTGAAAAAAAACATGAACTAAACCCGAGTCAATAATTATGATGAAAATACAACCAGTGTTTGGGGTCAAATTTCTCTCTTTTATGCAATTAATTTATTCCTCAGATATCATATACCATTTTTTGCTCATATTGAGAAAGAAAGGAGTCATTGCCTCTTGCTGGGTATGCACTATAGTTGTATGCACCGTGCACTTCCCTCTTTGGACATGAGTCCTTGGGACAACCTTGCAACATAAGCCTTTTCAGCTTCATTTTATAGGTGATGAACTAGAGGCTTAGAGATTAATTTGTATGAATCATATAGTACCCAGTTAATAGGGAGAAAGTTGGGAGTTAAACACCTATTTGCTGACTCTAAATCCTGTGCTTTCTTCTGCTGTGTAATGTCACTTGTTCTTAGTGGTATTTTGAATAAATCCATTCACTACTTAGGAGAGCAGCATATTATTACAAATATATTTATTTGAAAGTAATTGTTGCAGTGCCACATTCATAGTCCTTGAAAGGTAAAAAATTAAGTAATTTGAGCTTTTGATAGAGTCTGCTGAGAAAGACTTCAGTTTCTGATAGTTTCTTGGTCATAGGATTGGATCACAGTTATTTACTATATAAGCTTTCAAATTTGATTCTTGCCATCAAGTCATATAATTGAATTATATGGTGTTTGTTTCAATATTCACTCACTCTTTATCATGTTTCATGTTTATAGTGTTGACTGTTGAATAGATATAGGCACTGGTGTATATGTTTCTTGATTAAGTTAATATACAACTGTTTTCATTTATTTATAATTATTTCTTTTAGTTATGAAAATCTGAGTTACTTTTGAACTTTCAAGTACATTCTGTGGCTATATATGTTAAATTGCTGGCAAATCAGTGGCTTTACATTTTTTTTTTTTTTTGTAATTCTTTTTTTCTCTTTTTTTCTTCAGATGCTGCCATCATTGCAATTGGTAAGTTTGGTTCTTCGGCAGTTAAAAAAAATTGTCATCACTGTGGGATGTACAATCCATATTCCTGGAAGAGAATATTGTCTTTTTACTGTCTTAGGAATACTATTAAAATGAAATGTTTAAGGTTGTCAAGGAGAAGACAGGTAAATGCAGTTTATCGACGTGTTTGGTGGACACCAATAGGTACTCGGTATGTTCCTAAGTATTCCCAACCACATTCTTGTTCCAGGGTAATTTTAGGGCAACTTCACATCATTTGGCCAGTCAATCAAGTATCCTTGAATGCCTATTGTCTCAATGCATCATCATTTTAGGGGCCAAAAACAACAAGAAGGGGGCTGTTGTCAATACAGTTTTTAAGCCTCAAAAATTGTATAAGTACTCACAAACTACTCCTTGACTGTTTCTAGACTTCTTTCCAAATAAACCAGAATGCTACCTTTGATTACATTCTCTTCCTTTTCCCTTCCCTGTCAGTGATTTAAAGCAAAAATAGCTTTAAAATTATTCTGTTGCTATAGACATAAGGACATATCTGTGTTGCAATTTCTTCTGGCCTTTATTCCAGTATTTTTTTTGTTGTTCATAAATATATTATTTGATGTTATACCTTTTAACAAGAAGATTGATAACTCCTAAAGAAGATGATAAAAGAAATGTTTAAGAAGCAATACAGCTATGTAATGTATGGTGATTAACATAACATAATAAAATTTAAAAAAAGCAATACAGCTAAGTTGGCATATTAATAAGGAATGCCCAACAGAAAATATACACTTATAAAAAAAGTGAGTATTTTAAAATTATGTCCTTATAAGCTAAGGTCTCCTATCTGTGTATGCATGAATGAGACAAGGGACTGATGCTGAAAGTAGGTATTTTATTATTATTATTATTATTATTATTTATAGTTCTTTTATATTTTGAATGAACCTCTCTTTAGCTAAGATTCTTATCTTGAAAGATTTGAACAGTTGGAATTCACTTTGTTTGATATTTTAAATAGAAATAAATGTATTCTAAAGGAAAACTTCATGATTTCATCATTTAATGTTAACAGTGATGAGTTTAGTGGATGGGCTTTTTCTCACCTGCTCAGTGGTGTCCAATGAAGGTTTGAGGGGCTTATTTTCTCTGAAATTCTTGAAGTAGGTACTATGTGATTTTCCAGAAACTTTCCCTTAGGGTTAGATGTAATTCCAACTTGCGCTCAAAAATAAAGAGGAGCTCTTTCCCTCTTAAATCAGACATATGGCAATATTTTTCTTTGGGATCTTACACTTGTAAAATATAAACCTAAAAATTATCTTTATTTCTTCAATTTATTCTGTGAATCGGGTCACTTTTCTCATCTTTATTTTATCAGTTTTTTAAAAATTTGACTGTAGTTGATACACAGTGTTACATTAGTTTCAGGTATACAACATAGTAATTGGACAAGTGTATATACATTATGCTGTGCCCACCCCAAGCGTAGCTGCTGTCACTATACAAAGCTATTATAATGTCATCGACTAAATTCCTTATGCTGTGCCTTTTATTCCTGCCACTTTTCTTATTTTTAAAGATAAGCAAACTCTACTTACAAGGAAATTGCTTTTCTTGATTACACTGCAATGTTAGTGAGTGATATAGATGATACTAGAACTTCGGAAGTATTTGAATTTTTTCCTATTTAATTCTGCTAAAAAAGAGAGACTGACTAATCTCAGAACTTCCTTATTTGCCATGTAAGTGAAGACTTTATTGTGAGGTCTAAAGCTATTCTGCTGGCTCTGTATTGGTGTTTCTCCAAAACCTTTTTTTCATTATTGCCCTCTCCCCCTCAAGGCACTTTTTAGACATTTTCCTCATCACCCTCCCCCTGTGAAATTTTACTACCACAGAAAATACTGTAAATCTATTTATATTCTCTATGTGTATCTATACTTTATACATAAAAAAGTAAGATTTTTTTTCACCCTTTTGGGATAATACCCCTCATTGAGAATACATGCTCTATATAGTTGTTTTGTTTCTGTTTTTGTTTTTTTATGCCAACATTGTAAAGAAGACAGGCTTCTGTTTTGGAGTCAGCCAGATCTTGGTTTGAATCCTGTTGTTTTTTTGTGTTTTTTTTTTTAATTTAGTAATTATTCAACCCAAGTGATTGAACTTAATCTTTCTGAGTCCCAGTTTTCTCATTTATGATCCCTGTTTAAAGTCTTTGAAGCTTAATGAGATAATAGATATGAAAACTCCAGCACAGTGCTAACCATTGAATAAATATTAACTTAAAGCAGTCATGCAGTGCAGTCGCTGTTATTTTCCTAAAATGGGTTTCTCTCTTTCTTTTTTTTTTTAAGATTATTTATTTATTTGACAGAGAGGGACAGCGAGAGAGGGAACACAAGCAGGGGGAGTGGGAGAGGGAGAAGCAGGCTTCCCGCCGAGCAGGGAGCCCGATGCGGGGCTCGATCCCAGGACCCTGGGATCATGACCTGAGCCGAAGGCAGACGCTAGGAGCCCCCTGAAATGGGTTTCTGACAGTTTTATCATTCCCTCAGGCCACACCAAAGAGTAAGAACAGTCCTTTATTAAGGTAATATTTGCATTTTTGCTGTGTGGCAAGTACTCTACTGAAATTTTTATATTTTTATTTTACTTTTCAAAACATAATGTGTATCTATGTCCCATTTTTAATTTTTTTAATTTTTTAATTTTTCTTTTAAGATTTTATTTATTTGACAGAGAGAGAGCGCACAAGCAGGGGGAGCAGCAGAGGGAGAAGCAGGCTCCCCGCTGAGCAGAGAGCCTGACTCAACTCTGGGCTCCATCCTAGGCCCCTGGGATCGTGACCTGAGCAGAAGGCAGCTCCTTAACTGACTGAACCACCTAGGAGCCCCTCTATGTCCCATTTTTTATCTGAAAGAATGATTTTTGCAAGATTTGTAACTTGCCCAAGGTCACACATCTATTAGGCGCTTCAACAGAGGCAGAGGACTTGTTTCTCCAGCACTTGAAAGGATAGATTCTCGTCCTATGTGAAAATCTGCACAACTCAAATTTGACAATTAATGTAGTCCTGATTCTTTACTTCCCCCCCCCCATTGCTGAAACCCTATATCGTGATGTTCATAAATCTCTTATGGGGATTAATAGGTCAGTTGAAGGAATATTTAAGAAAAAATTAGAGACTACTCAGTGACATATCTAAAATGCTTTTTCTGTATCCTTCAAAGATCACATGCTGATTAACTTTGGCTTTGAACATCCACCTGCATATGGCATATGGTATAGACTAGCCCAAATGGAGGCCTACTTTCAAGAGTCTTGAATCATCAGTAGTACTTTGAAATGCGTCAGATGCTATATCAGGTCTTCACTGTGTCTTGTTACCTTCTCTCTGTAAGATGAACTTAAATCCCATTATAAGGAACTTCAATTATCTACAAGTTATTCAAAGTTAAGAAATCAGACAACATAATCATCTAATTTTTCATTGATCTGCTTAGGCTGGCAAGAGAAGCATTTGAATTTCCCTCACCTAAAAAATTCCCTCACACAAAGAAAATCCAATGATAATAACAATACCCTTCAAGGGTCCTATGGATGTTGCTGAGGAAGTGGGGTTGAATTCTGATTTGTAAATCTGAAAATTTAAGGTTTACTGAAGCACATTCTTTTTCCTTCTATAAAAGCCTCTTTCCGGTGTGACTTCACCTGTCCACAGACCTCAGTTCCTTTATTCTGTTATGTTAAATAGGATTATAAGGAAGAACAACCTATTAACAACTTTTTTAGTTTTTAGTTTTTTTAGTTTGCAGTCTCTGCACACATTCTTCTAGAATTATGTATATGTGCTGATCAGTGTTCTAAGATTTTGGTTCAGCCGTCTAGATATTCTGGATCACTTTAAAATTTTCTATCTTCATTTATCATTCAAATTGAAAATGGGATGGTTTTACAACCATTGAAAATGGTGGAGCTAATGGAAGTGGTGAAGGGAAAAGAAACCCCAAGTTTTTGAGGAGCCATGATTTATTTGATGAATACAGTCTTTCCAAGCTAACGATATGGTGCTAGGGGATCAGTTAAAGAAATTGATTGAGTAAAATACTGTAAAAACTTACCTGTGGTAGAAATAGCTGTTTTGTTTAATCATGTATCCATACGACAGTGCAACTGTGTGACATGAGCATTTGCTGATTGGTAACCAATTTGTGATTTGATCACATTACTTTCAGTTGCTTTCCTAGTGTCATCTGTAATTTCCTTTGCAATACAGATCAAAAGAATAGAGTTCAAGGACATTGCAGGTTGGAGTAGGAAGGAAAAGGGAGCCCAAGAATGGTATGGAGAAAGGGCACATGGGTGGTTTGGAAGAAGAAAGATTGTGTGTGAAAATCAAACTATAAAAATTACTGTTGACCAACTTATTTGACCAATCACTTTTCTGTCATTCAACTCAAAGTAGTGCATTTAATCTCAAAATAGTGCTTTCCTAAATGAAATTGTATCGACAACAGACTAAACACTGAACAGCATATTCTGTAAGCAACATAAATATGTTTTAGCCTCCATGCACAGGTGATATCACCTTTCCTGTGATGGAGAAATGCCTATAGCTCTTAGCTTTACTAGGAACAAAGTAAATGGCCTTCCTATTAACCACATATGTAGCCCTCATCTCTCTGAGACTCAGTTTACTCATCTACACAATGAGAGTGAACTCCAAGATACCCTCTAGTGCTAACATTACATAATGCAGTCATCATGGGTTTTTTTTAAGATTTTATTTATTTATTTGACAGAGAGAGAGAGAGTACAAGTAGGCAGAGAGACAGGCAGAGGGAGAGGGAGAAGCAGTCTCCCCGCTGAGCAGGGAGCCCAACGCGGGGCTCAATCCCAGGACCCTGGGATCATGACCTGAGCCGAAGGCAGCCGCTTAACCGACTGAGCCACCCAGGCGCCCCTGCAGTCATCATGTTTGAATGACCAATGATCAAAGCATTTAAAATTGAGCCTGGTGGGGTTGAAACCCTTCAGAAGCCTCTCCAACGGGTTAAACACATCTTATTTGAGTATGTGATACTTTAAATATTTTATTTTATTTTTCTTTGACCGAAAGGATAAGTAGCATGCAATTTTTACTGTCAAACTTGTGACCTAAGAAAGCCACACACAAAATAGAATTCACATCTCCCGTTTTTCTTTAACTTGGCTCATAACCGGTGTGTTTGTCATTGTGAAACTGCATTGTATATGTACTTGTTCATGCTTCTATTAACCGTGTTACCAAATTTTTTCCCCCTCAAGGACTTGTTGCTGGTACTGTAATTGGTGCCCTAATTCTAGTCAAAATTTTCTGGCACTATGGAAAATCAGGGTGAGCAGAAATTCTGATGATTTAAAAAAATTTGTTCTTAGCTTCTTTCCAGTAAAACTTGACACTATATCAGAAGGTAACTTTCTTAGCTTAATTTTATTTTTTGACATGCTCTCTCTTTATTCCTTTTCTCTGTCATTACTGACCTGGGTAAACAGACTTTGTGTCTTTTTTCTTTTTTTTTTTTAATTTTTCAGTAGATTCAAGGACATTAACATTTCAAAGGAAAGTGATTTGAAAGCCATTTTCTCACTTTGCAATCTATTAATCAACTCACCTTGTTTCCCTACTCAGTACAATTTCTGGTAGTATCTGTGTGTTACACAGAAGCAAAAACCTGGGGAAAAATCAGCCTCTAACAGATTTGGCAGGTTGCCTGTGATCAGGCCTTTTTCTGAGTTGGATTTATGAAAACATGCCAAAACAGCTAAAAACAGCCCCGTGGTTCAGAGGATAGACCCAGGAGCATGACCCCTTGATTTGAATCATCCGGGGCTGAAGTACATGCCATGGGGCAATGGGCAACTTCACTTCTCTGATGCTTCTTTTCTTATTTGTAAAGTGGGGGACGTATATCACCTGTCTCAGGGGATTGTAGTAAGGATCAAATGAATTGCCCCCTGTAAAGAAGGTAGAATAGTGCTTGGCACGTGGTAAGCCCTGGGATGGTAGAACAGCCGCACATAGGGAAAAAAATCAGTATTATTTGAAACATCTGATCTGCATTGAATGTGCATGTGTTAAGTATAATGTCATAGCTGGCTCTGACCTATCCTGTAGACAGAGGATTATTTAAATTGACCCTCCTTTGTTTTATAGATTTGTTCAGAAAACTTACCGTAGAGTTTATATAAACTTGAATTATTTCTAAACTGCCCTACTGCCTGTCTATTTTTTTTTCCTTAATTAAAAACAACTCTAATGCTGTCACTAAATGGCCTGTTTTAATTTGGGGGGTGATGTGATCTATCTACTTTTTACCCTCTGTAACTCTTACCTTTCTCCTTAAATTAACAATATTATTGAAGCCTATTATAAGCTAAAGTATGTAAGTGTTCTTTAAGTCACTAAATGGTTCAGTCTTTAAGTAAAACTATCTGACCACTGGGTCCTGTGAGCTTTTAAGTAGATATTTGTTTACTGCCAATAAAGTATTCTAGTTGCTTAATACCAAATTAGTAAAATAGAAGTTCAGGTGTTTCAGAAACTTTTTAAGAATGTAGTTTAGAGTCCACCAAAAATGAACAGAATTCAAAGTCATATAAAGTGAGTTAAGTTGGTACAGATGCTTGAGCAAAACTACTGTGGAAGAAAAGTAAACCACTCACCCCACGTACTTCCTTGCCCTTGTTCTGGCTCTCCTTTTGAATTAGAGCTTTGTGGGTTTACCTTGCAAAGCCAATGCTTTGGGGCCTGGCAGGTAAGAGCGGTAGGGAAGGAGTGTGGAGTTCACTGGGAACTCTCTGGGCAGCTTCAGTTTCTTTACATACTTTTCAGGAAAATAATTGGCCATGTTGGTTTCAGTGGGATGCAAAGTGCTGAAACGTAGAAGGAGGGAATATTTGTTTTGAATTTTATTGGGGTTTTGCAGTAAACCAAATTCCTCTATTTCTGAATCAGAGGAAACTTGTGCAAACCCCTAAGAAAGAATTTGCCTTTTTCATGTGCACTTAAAAAACACTCCACTTGCCTTGTTTTGGAAGTAAAAGCTGTTGAAGGTAAGAGCTAACTTTGTACATTCCTGGTTATGCTCCTGATTTCATACCGATTTAATTAAAAATTGGATCTTAATAGGGACAGGGAAAAGAGTTAATGAGTGTGAAGGTGATTGTGTCCCTTCACCTGGTGATCCTTTGTGTTTGCCTATCAAAGGATTTACTTACCTCTTTTAGAAATGTAGTTCCCGTAAGTTTTTAGTTAAAAGGGATGTGATGTAAGGAAATGCTGATACTGCTTTTTGGTTGAAATTAAAATTATATGATTCAATTTATGTTTTCCTTCTCTACTATTCAGCTCTTATTACACTCATGAAAACAACAAAGCACTCAATGTTGTGTTTCATAATTTAACTGTGACTGGTGATGCCTCAGAAGTAAGACCTTCTGGTAAATCATAAAAGGTATATGGTTTTATGAAGTCACATTTCTGTGTCTTGTAAAATGTCCATCAGTACCACTCGGGCAGGATTTATCCATGACTGTTCAAGGGTAATAGGGGTTCAGACCTCTATTATCTTGTCAGACTGGTTTTGCTTTCTTGAGTGACTAACATATTGGATCTCTCATTAGCATGACATGTCATCCATCCTCCACTCATCATCTCATCTTGTGTTTTGCAATCAGTTTATTGAAATGATTGGATGCTAGCAATGCCACAAATATTTGGGGGGAAAAGCCGAAAGGTAGATACATTAGGGCTTACAAATAGGAATGCCTTCATTATGACTGTTTGCATCATGAGATGATTGGCTTATATGGTATTTGTTTCTCCTTTTTGCTTGATGGCTTTTAGAGTTTCCAGTGTTTGGAAATATTAAGATTTGTTTTATGGTATCTTTTTAAGTCATGCTTATAGATCTTATATCTCTTTTATGTTATACAAAATTATGACAAAAATAACTTAATATAAATGCATCTGTGAAACGTTCTGGGTGTCTTCTTCGAGGTGGTCTTTTGATGAAATTTTTCTCTAATGCACATGTCAGGGGTTTTCTTTGACTTTTAATCTGGAAGTATCTTAATCAATTCTAACTCGGCTACTTAATTTCAAGAAACTAAAAAACTCAAGTGTCATATTTTAGTTGGTGTTGCTATAGCTATTAAACTCAAGTCCACAGTGAGGTTAGATAACTTACTAATTTTGCCTTTGTTTTGCATGCCACATTAACCGATTAATTTTCATTGTTTATCTCATAGTAACCAAAAGATTAATGTGTATCATCAGTCACTAAAATTATTTTGATGTTAACTTTCTTTTTTAACTTTCAGGACACACATGTATAACACTGACAGTCTTATTTATGATGCTAGTAACCATTGGCTAGCTGATTTAGCCGAAGAAGAGTTAAGAAGAAAGTGCACATGAGTATGCAGAATATTTCTAGTTTCTTAGACTTTCTGGAGGAATGGACAAAATAAATGTAATAGTGCTCTTCGTTTTGCCTACTATCATTGTCTTTAAGGTGCATAGGAAAATCAATGAAGCAAGGAGAAGCGAGTCTGTCCTGGGACACTCCCAAACCTCTTGAAAATAGAACAACTTGCAAGATTTAGAGTGATTATTTCCTCGAAGTGTAGGAAAGTGTAGAGGTTTGTTCATACTTAGAACGTGAGCATGAAGAAAAGGAAATGTGTGATTTTTTTTTCACTAGATGTGTAAAGTTATCTTTGTTTACAAAAAAAATTAAAAGTTAAACACAGTAATTGGATACTGGAAAGAAACAAAAAACCTAAAATCAGTCTCTTCTGAGCAAACTTGCCAAAGAGAGATGGACCGTAATATAAAATAACCCTTGACTGTAAGGCATTTTCTTCTTTTCTCATTCCATTAAAATGAGTCTGAATGGGTTAGCAAAATATTTTAAAGGAAAAACATGCTTATGACTCAAGAGCGTTGATTTTCTTGGGTTAGCTGGTGGCAAAGGAGAAATACAGAATGAAGGAATAACTCTTCTTTTTGTCACACAAGTACAGGTACCCAATCAGGACTTAGCCTCTCACTTGTAAGTAAGATGGATTGGCCATAGTTTTGTTTAAGGACAATCTTTTTTTTCCTCCTTCTTGGAGTAGGACCCCTATGAAAGAGTGAAAGGTGTCTTCATTAATTTAATGTCTCTAAAACTATCCAGAGATACTTTGATATTAACATAAGAGTCTGTATTTCTGAAGTGAGATGTTCATAGCCAAATTGTAAATCTTATTCTTTTGTAATACTGAGATTAATTTATTTATATTTATTTATGTCAGTGAATGCATTGGTTTTACATGTATGGCAAGACAAGTTCAAGAAGCTATGTAAAGAAAAATTTATTTTCCCTAAATAGAAATAAATAATTGATCACGTTTTTTGTCTCATGTAGTATTTGAAATTTATTTTCTTAGATATAAATAATTTATTTCTGAATAAGAGATTCTTCTCCTTCCTCCCATAAGTAGTTTAGAATGCTGTCCTTTGCTTCTCCTGGTATGAAACATTTTCATTTACTTTGAAGTTACATCATATTGTACTTTCTCAAGCATGTCATATTCTCATATTAGAGTTCCGTCACTTGTTATTGGTTTACTTAAGGGCAATCACATTAATTTCTAGATTATTATACATTCCTATCATCTTACCAATTCTATTTAAGTGTTGGAATAGGCTAGAACATACACATAACTAAATTTAACAATAATTATTTTGTTACATTGCTTCATCTATTTTGCTGTTGAAGTATTTTAAAGTAAATTCCATATACATCATGGTATTTCACTATAAATACTTCAATGTGTATTTCTAATAATAAGGAAATATTTTCAACCTAACCACAATCATCACAACTAACAAGATTAACAATAATTTCCTAATAGTTTTTAATATTAGGAAATTCTTTTAACTCTCCTAAAAGTTCTGTGTATAGCCACATATCCAACTACTAATCCATTTGTTTGTTAAATGGGAGGGCCTCCTCTGCCTACACTGGGACAGTCTGATGCTTCCTAGGGTAGTAGCAAGCAAGCAAGTAGCACTGATTCAATTATTCAGAAAAATACCTGAGAGCCTACTATGTGCAGGTTACCACGTGCTAGGTGTGAGCTTGTCAAGATCACTGCAGTACAGTGGCTGCCTTCATTTTGCTTATATTCTATCACAGGAAAACCAAAACTAACACTTACTGAGAGAAAGAGTATAGAATTACAAGTGTTACAGTAATCACCTGTACAGAATACAGGGAGTGCCTAAGCTATCTTTGCTACATGGGTGAATGGTGGGCAGGGAGGCATGCAAGAAAGGATGTGAATTACGGAAGGACAAACAAGAGATTCACAGAGCAGGAATGGAGCCTGCAAACAATGCAGTGGGTTCAAAGTAGGAAAGGCTCAGGGAGAAGACTTGTGTTTAGTGTAGAAGTAAAAATTGTAAGTTCCAAATAATTATTCTGCCTTGATTAAATTTAAAGTTGGAATCAATGAACACAGGTTTATAATAGCAAGAATTTTAGACATTGGGAAATAATTGAACTTCAGCAGTACAATACATTGAGTTAGCCTGTATATCTTATTGTTTAGATAAAGGTAAAGCTGAAAAAAAATTTAACAGTTTTCTTGAAGAAAATAATATAAACAGTAGGCATATTGTGGGTAATGGCGTTTTCTTGTAGGGTTTATAACTACTTTGTGTCCTGTTGTCATGAACTTGAATAATTTTATTTTTTCCCAAGGCAAGCTCTGCTTTGAGATTATACTTTGATTTCAAAGATTGTGTTGCCTTTACTCTTGAGACTGATGCTGGTTTGTTGTAGGAAATTATACTTGCTTACCACAGAAATTTGCCTTTTATTATATTTAACCTACTATCACTATCAGATTTCTTGGAACACTTAAACATTAATAGTTTTTATCTTACCACACCCCAGCATTTTTTTTTTTTTTTGGTTAATGCCAAAGTGGATACCTTATTTTCTATTCAAACAACTTGAGTGTTCCCTCCACTCCCTTGCCTAAATTAAAAACAACCTCTTCCCTAAAGTCAATGCTTTCCTTGCAAACTACCTCAGTGGTGGGTGGTTCATTTTCCTACTCCATGTGCCTCAGTGTTGAGAAGTGGTGGTATTCTTTTTCCTTACTTCCCATTGTGTCTACTTCCATCCATCTCAAGTTTTCCATATATTCTTTAAAAAGACTAACTATTCTTTCACTCTAGTAGGGCATTTTACTAAAATGTTTTTTCCCTATAGTTTTCTCTCTCTCAATTCCAAGTAGGTAGCCAAATTTTCATCTCCCTTGCTACGGGGAAACATCGTGACCTGTGGAAGCAGAACCACTTAAAGACAACTCTCTTTCTTACTATTCCTCTCTGAAATCCTGTACTCTCATCATGGACTAAGCTGTGGGGAGGGAGGTAGAAGCAGAATCAGGAAGAGAGAAGATTCCTGTGAACAATAAAGAAGACCTGTGTTGCTCAAAGTCTCTGATCCAAGCATCCTGACAGTTTCTAGGGTGAGGAGGTAAGGACTCAGAGGTGAGTGATGGGAAGTATAATGTTATATTTTGAAGTTGGGACTAACAGCATTTGTTAAAGGATTAGGTGGTGCAGTTAAAAAGGAAAGGAATTAAGGATGACACCCAGGGTTTTAGAGCAACAGAAAGGAGATTGTCCTCTTTCCTAACCTTACTTCCCTTGGGGAAGACTTTTGTAACAGAAAGATCAGGAGTTTGTTTTTATACATGGTAAGTTCGAGATGCCTTTTAGACATCAAAGTGAAGATGTTGTATAAGTAGTCAAAAATACAAATGTGGAGTTCTGAAGAGGGGTCTAGGCTTGAGATATATATTTGGGAGTCATCAGTAAGAGAACATGTGTCAATGAACCCAAATGAAAAAAGCAAGATGAAGACTTATATTCAACATTAGGGTTTACAATATGGAGGTCACTGGTCGCCTTGAGCAAAGCTCTTTCAGTAGAGTAGTTGTAATGAAAAGCCTAGATGGAGGGGCTAAAACAGAGACTGGGATGAGAGAGATTGAAGATAGCCAATACAGATGAATATGGACAATTTTTTCAAGAGTTTTACAGAAAAGTTTGGGCAGAGAAATGTTTGCTGGAACATACTGTATGCTCAAGAGAGATTTTCTTTTAAAATACGGGGGAAATTATATCATGTCGTATGCTGATGGTTATGATGCAGGAGAAAGAAGGAAGAATTTCTAAAGCCCTCGAGGAGAGGAGAGGAGAGGAGAGGTAATTGACTCCATCCCAAGAAATGGTATAGCTAAGTCGTTAAGAGCATGGATTTTGAAGACAGACTGCCTGAGCTCAAATCAGACTCCTGCCATTTAACAACTGTGTGACTTTAAGAAAATTCCTTATCTCTGTACCTTATCTATCTATAAAGTTATCTATCTATAAAGCGTCTTTCCATCTGTAAAGTGGCAATACATAGAATTGCTATGAGAAGTATGAGAATTAAGTTAATAAACATAAAGTGCTCAGAATAGTGCCAACCACATAGGAAGGGCTCAGTAAGTTTGAGCTCTTTTTAGTGCACAAATGGAGAGGAATCTATAAATACGTAAAGTGGTGCTAGAATGAGATTCATTGTATGAAATTACCTTTCACAGCACTTGCAAATCTGCTGGCCGAAACATGTCTATCTATGGAATATCAGGAAGGGTTTAGGAATCCTCTGCTTTCCCTCTGATTCCTACATTCTCAGTAAGTCTCATTATAGCCAACATCCTTTGTCACTAGTATTGTGGATCTGCTCCAGGGAGGTTCCTTTTTGTTCATTTTCCTCCGTGGCCACTTCAGAATGACCATGAGTGGAGGTTAGGGGCTCTGTTCTCCTTGGAATGTACAGCTGTTGCAGCCCACTTACTGCCCATGAAATTTGGGGCACCCAAAAGCTTGACCAGCCAAAGGTTTTCTAAGTCCAGGATCTTAATTTCTTTGACTATACAATTCCCTCAAAAACTCAGTGGGCTTCTGATCTATTTGCTTCCAGGGCACACTATGGGATAGTTGCCACTGCCAAATAATTTGCTGAATTGAATTCTCAATCCTGATCTGTTTCTTTGCCTCCTACTCACCACCTCATTCTTTCCCTTATTTGTGCAGGTTCTCACTCATGGCAGCTTACTTCCTTGTGTGCCCGGTTGCCTTTGACTGTGCTACCTGTTCCTCTTTGCAAAATTACTTGTTGGGATTCCCTAAGGCATAGGGTGAAGGTACTCTCTCCAGAGATACTTTAGTTTTCCATCTACCAAATTTGTTTGGCAGTATCATTTGGGTACTACCTTAAACCATGTTTAGAACTTGGGCTTTCCTGACCCACCCAGGTCTTGAGAACTTGGACTGGGAATCCTTACCATGACTGGGCAATTGCCACAAGTTCTCAGGGTTAAGTTTTTATGGTTCTAGCATTTTTAATTTCTTCCGCTTCATTCAACACTATGGCAGCCTTCCCTACAATCTTTCAGGGTTGGGTTCAGAAAAGGCGGGCTTACTTTTGATTCACTCTGAGCCTGAGGGTAGAGTCCTTTACAAGTCCAGTGTAATGGTGGGACCCCATCTGATATAACTTTCCGCCTTGGATGGGCCCTGGACCTTGACTTCTGTTCCGCTTGCCCCATGAAATTAAAAGGATAAACACAAGTTTTCTGATATCATTAAATGACCCTAGGGCACATTTAATTTTGTTGCTGATATTCTCCCTTTCTTTTCTGGGTTTAGTTTTGCAATCAGAGTTACCTCTGGCAATCCCCGTGCTATTTTGTCGGCTTATCAATGGGTTTAAGATAATTTCTAATGTTTTAAATCCAGTTACCTTGATTGCTTCTTAGAGAGTAATTAGTCCAAATCTTAGGCCACCACTATTGAAAAATAGAATTCTTAAGCACAATGTATGCTCTCGTCATATATTCTTATGAAAAATGAAATGCTGAAAGGAAAAAAAAGGACACATCAGAATGATGAAATACATGTAAATTTAAAATATTAAGTCAAAGAAAAATATATACAGTTGACCCTTCCTTGAGTAACGGGTTTGAAGTGCATAAGTATACTTATATGGGATTTTTTTTTTTATAGTATAATACTGCAAATGTATTATCTCTTCCTTATGCTTTTCTTAACATTTCCTTTTCTCTAGCTTACTTTATTATAAAAATACAGTAAATAATGCATATAACATGCAAAATATGTATTAATTGACTGTGTTATTGGTAAGGCTTCTGGTCACTACTAGCCTATTAATAGTTATTTTTGGAGAGGGGAGTCAAAAGTTATATGTGGGTTTTCTACTGTGTAGGGAGTCAGCCTCTTACCTCTTCATTGTTCAAGGTCAACTGTAATTTCAAGTGTTATAAATTGTCAGTAGTCAAAAACATTTCAGACTGAACAAGAACAAATTCTCATTGATAGTGGCCATCAAGCTTTTGAAAGGATCATTAAAGACTCATGATCAGGAATTATATAGAGCATTTCAAGAACAAAATTCTATATAAAAAGTTATATAAAAACTACATAAGTGAGAAAGCTGAAGTTTCTCATTTAAAAATTTGAAGATATTTTATTTGGAAATTTCATATACATTCAATATACAAGGTCTTTCCTAATTCTTGTATTTTATTATTCTTATCATAGCTATGTGATATTTTTAATGTAATGAGTTTTTTCATCATGCCTTAAATAGGGGTTCCCAGATACCTTCAGTTTATCATTTGATGACATAGAAATATCACAGTTTTCTATTTGTGCCCAGATATGAAAACAGTTGGAAATATTGGGAGAGGGAGAAATCAAAACTCAAAGGAACAAGCTAATTAATAAATATAGAAGTAGCTGATTTTATTACTGAGTAAAGCAAATATAATACAAGTAAGAATACATGCAGGTAGCCAACAAATGACCACAGAGCTGTAGAAGATTTCTGCTCTATTTACACAAAATTAAAGCTACAGTTGCTATACACCATCCTAGTTTTAGTAAACAGTCTGCAGGGATTTATTTTGTGTCAGTGGTTACATGGAGCAAACTCTTGACATTCCAGTCTTTCCTAATTCTTTTTTTTTTTTTTAAGATTTGTATTTATTTATTTGAGGGGGGCGGGGCAGGAGGAGTGGAAGAGAGAGAATCCTGAAGCAGAAGCCCCGCTGAGCACGCAGCCCAACACAGGGCTCAATCCCATAACGCTGAGATCACCACCTGAGCCGAAACCCAGAGTCTGGACATTCAACTGATTGAGACACCCAGGTGCCCTGAGTCTTTCCTAATTCTTTTCAGGCTTGTTCTGATATTCTGAACTTCATAATTCTTTGTCAAAATCTTCTATGTTTGCCCCTAACAGTACAACTAGTTCATCTGATTAGTCATTCTCTTCAAAATTCTTTAGTGAGGTTAGATTAAGCTCAGTTTCCACACAGAAGTACTGTGTGCAGGGCCCCAAGCAATTTTTTTTTTTTGAGAATCCCTTGTCTATAAATGTAATTTGGATTAAAAATGCATTACAAAATCCATGGTCCCATATGAGGTATAATTATTTATTGATGAAAATTTAGAATAATAGGTAGAGGAAAAGTATTTATGTGTTTATTATCTAATCAATGCACATGAAATTATTCATAGTGTCCAGGTACCATCTCTATTCGTTTGGGTCCTAGATCCCCCACATTGTTTTATTGCCAAATGTGCCCAATGTGCTACTCCTGGGTAGTTTGTATTTCCTACAGGCAGGAAAAGATGGCAACATTGTTACTACTCACAATGTTACTACTCATAGTTCTTTAGAACCTATTTATATTGATATGTGTTCTTTTTGTGGTTCCCTAATACCATTTACTCATTTTTAATCATGCTGTCATTCATTATGTTGATCATTCATCGTGCCACCTGTGAACACTGGCTTCCAGTGACTTGAAAGGTTGTTACACAGCTTCACTGATGATAACCACAGATGCAAGTGTTATCCATTTTCCAGGCAGTGAAAATGTAAATAATACTTCATTTTCTAACTGTGTTGTATTTACCCTTTGGAGTTTGTGGTATGTGGTATCTCTTAACCTATGGTATGACTCTTTAGGTCATAATCACTGCATTCTTGGAATGGGACCTCTTTCAATGTAGACTGCATCTCTGCCTTCCACACCTTGCCATCAGCTGGGAGGACAGGCAAGGTGCCTGTGGATGGAGTAAAAAAGTAGCCCATTAATATAAAGATTACCCATCTCTTCCCAGCATGGCCTAACACTGAGCAAGGACACCATGGCATTTCCACATGAGTTGGAGGCAAGAGAGGGCATTGAAAGGAAGGTCATTGGTTTTGTGGAGCAGCAGTCTGGAAAATTCTGAGGGGAAGATAGAAGTGGTCACCCCTGGAAATCTGCCTTCACATGGGCCAGCAGAGGGAGTGGGTAACTATTCTGGGTGCTACCGAGGGGGCAGAGAAGATAAAGGACATCTGTTACCACTCTCACCATCCCCAGGTGCCATATTCCAAGGTGCTAAAGGTGTCACCCCAGTGAGAACAAATAGGTGAGAGCTGTCACAGGGGCCCACACACATATTTGCAAGCCCTAGGCTGGTAGTGGTTGGTCATCCAGAGCCTTAAACTAGAAGGATGTAAATAATCTCTAGTAGATCTAATCCAAAAATAACACAAGTTCAGTTTTTCTTCAATGCAATATTATAAAAAGAAATACGTGAAATACAGTTATGCACAAACTACACCAAAAACCATTGGGTCTTTACTGATTCAGGAGGAGTTGCCGAACGTAGTAGAGTCTCAATGGTCATTTCCTTGTGGGAGTGTTGAGTTATCGCTTGCAAGATGGCTGCTATGGCCTGAATTGTGTCCACTCCAAATTTCCCATGTTGAAGCCCTAACTCTCCAGTGGGATGGTGTTTGGAGATTGGGCCTTTGGGAGGTAATTAGGGTTAAGAGGTCACAGGAGAGGGCCCTCATGATGGGACTGGCCCTTATAAGAAGAGAGACAAGAAAGCTAGCCCTCTCTCTCCGTCTCCCCCACTGACCACCACCGTATGAAGACACAGTGAGAGAGCGGCCAACTGTGAGCCAGGAAGAGAGCCCTCACCAAAACCCACCATGCTGGCACTCTGATTTTAGGTTTCCAGCTTCCAGAATGGTGAGAAAATTAATTTCTTTTCTTTTTTTTTTTGTGCTTGATGACTTTATTATGGCATAAAAAACACAGGCTGTTTCTTCCTCCTCCTCCCCGCCCCCAAAGTGGGTTCACAGCAGTTAAAGGAAAAAAAATCCTACATTTCTCCTCTAGGGGGCTGCCTAAAGGGGGTAGACAGCCAAGCAACCTAGATCTATAAAGGAGGGGAGCAGAAGAAAACCCATCCAAAGCCCTCACCCGCACCCTTAGAGCTCAAGGCCTCCATAGGGGGAACATCAGTGTCCCCCCTGCCGCCCCAACACCCATTCGGGAGTTCCCCTTACAATGGTCACTGGGGAAGGCTGTCCTGGTGGCACAGGGAGGGGGTGGCTGGTTTCGATGGGTGGAGGAGAAAGGCATCCCACACCCACAGGGCCCTCCCTCTCTCCCCCTGTCTCCACCTGGCCAGGCAACCTGCAGGTACTGCCAACTCTCTCCTGCCCCCAACCCTCTCGACAAGGAAAGGCACCTCTGGTTGGGGTAGCAAGAGGTAGGGAAAAGAGGGAGCAAAAAGAAAGAACATTACTTCTTAAACTACCCCAGGCCCATGAGTCTCTCAGGGAGAGTCACCCTGTCCCTTCTAAGAAGGGCTCCCTTCTATGCAAACGCATATTCCTAACCAGACCCCAGACCCACTTCCCATTTAGCTCCCAGTCCTGGGACTGGGCTCCAGCATCCCCAAGGGAGGGAGAGATGCTGTGGGCCTAAGCCCTAGGACTTTGGACGGGGTGATAAGGTGGGGTCTCTCTAGGTGGAGACCCCAGGCTCAGTAGAGAAACACACACACATACACACACAGGTACAAACAACATGCATATACACATATGCCCTAATATTAAATAAAATACCTTTTGCTCATAACTTAAAAATCAATACACAACTAATCCTTGCATAGGGCTCTGGGTGGAGAAAGAGGGGCAAGGGGTCAAGGGAGATCGGAGGGAATCTTAGGGCCTCTACCTCTAGCTTTGGAAGGGGTACTAGTTCCAGATCCTTACTCCTATCAGCTTCCTTCCCTTTGCCTGGCTCCACCCCTGCGAGGCTCTCCCCTCCCCAGTCCCCACTCCAAGATCCAAGTCTTGGAGCATCTAAAGAAGGGGACAAGGACATACAGCTTCCTGGACATCACCTCAGAAGGCAGACCGCTTCCAATGGGAGAACACCTCCTTCATATGGAAGGGGAGTCCCCCTGCCCAGAATTGAGATGAGGAGAAAGGAGCCTCCTAACACCCACTCTTCAGGAGGGGCAAGGCTTGCAGGCAGCAGAGAAAGGGGAGGGGAGAGAAAAGAAAAAGTGGACCTAAGCTCAGTGAGTAGAAGATGGCTGGGCAGGGGCAGAGTCCTCTACTCGAGTGGGGACCACTGGAGGTCCCTCTGCTGGGACACCCCACTTACTCCCCAGGCAACCCAGGTAACCCTTTTCCTTCCATCCCTAAGGGGAAGGCAAATGATGGGGGCGGAAACCCAGGATGAGGAACTACATCAATTCTAGGGTGGGGGCTGGGGCTTCCGGTTGCCTTGAAAACCTAGGTCAGGTAACAGATGGGGAATGTGAACTATACTGAACTTTTTTTCCCATAAAAACCATGAGTTAAGGACTGAATCCGAGTTAGAGAGGTAAGGGGTTGGTTCCTTCCATTGCCCCACCAAATCCCTTTCTCCCATTTTAGCAGGGGACTTTCTGCCCTCCCCGTCCCAGCCTAGCTCCCTCCTCCAGCCCACTGCTCTCCATCCTGGTCTCTTCCCCTCTTCCTTCATGGCTCCATCAGAGTGGGTTTGGAAGGGTTAATCAGGAGGCACATCAAAGGAGTTATTTCTACAGCAACAACCCTCCCAACCAGATAGATACCCCTCCCTAAGGGGGACCCCTGTCTCCCCTACCCCACCTCAGCTCTCCCTCGGGAAACCATAAGGATAGAAACACTATAAGGGGAATGAAAGCGACCTGGGCCGCAGGGCGGGTCCGTAGGCGCTTTTATGTCCCGGTTCCCAGGCGCTAAGGACGTGTCCGGACAGCTACCCCCAGCGCCCGCGGCGGCCCCACTCCTCTCTGCTCCCGGAACGCGCCGTCTCTTCCAGCAGGTCCCCTCCGCCCTCCAGCCGCGGTAGGGGTACCCCACCCCAACCCCCCCAGCCCGGACACAGGGGCGAAGTAGTGAGGAAGGGGAGGACGGAGGGGCATGCGCAGCTCCTCCCAGCCCAGCCAAACACGTCTTGTCCAGCCTCAGAGACTACAGAAAACCCTAGCGCCCGGTCCCCCTGACCCCGCACCACTTTTCCTCCCCCTCAATAAATAACCACCTTCTCCTCTGACTCAAGTCGCCTCCCAAGGGCGTCAGGCCGGAGTTGGGGGGTGGCGGGGAAATCTCTTCTGATGCCCCCAGGGGAGACCAGCGTGGGGGGCGGTACCGGAGCAGCTCAGTTGGAGGGAGCCGCGCCGCCCTCGGCCTCCCTCTTGCCTTTGCCCCCGGGGGGCTCCACCGCTCCGCCGGCCTTGCCCTCGCCTGGGGCCGCCCCGGCAGCCTCCTCTTTGGCGCCCTCGTGGGTTTTCATGTGTTTGGCCAGGTGGTCGCTGCGCATGAAGACGCGGCTGCAGACTGCACAGGGGAACTTCTTGGCGCCCGTGTGGGTCTGGAGGTGGCGCTGCAGTTCGTCGGAGCGCGTGAAGCGCTTGCCGCAGAAGAGCCAGTTGCACACGAAGGGGCGTCGCCGCTGTGCCAGCGCAGGTGCGCCTTCAGGTGCGACGTCTTGGCGTAGGCTTTCCCGCAGCCCGGGATGTGGCAATTGTGCAAATGCTTCTTCTTGCCCCCGTCGGGCCCGCACGGAGCCCCCAGTCGCTCCTCCTCCAGGCAATTGGGGCAGCGGCAGACGGTCTGGCCAGAGCTGCGGGGCACTGACCGCCGGGAGCCTTTGGGCCGGGCTGCCCCGTCCAGACTGGAATCCAGGCCCTGGGACTCGAGAAAATTAATTTCTGTTATATAAACCACCCAGTCCATGGTATTTGGTTATGGTAGCTCCAGCTAATACAATAGCTAAATATAGTATTCATGATTTATTTTGCGTTTGTTTATAGAACACTAATTTTACTTTCATGTATTTTAAAGGGACATTTTATATATTAATTTTTAAACTAAAAAATATATCGAGATCTTGAACAGTGTGATTTTGTGAAAGTTTTATAACCTTTCTGTTTCCTCTTCTATAAATCTTACGGTAGAACCTTATAGAATTTTTATAAGAATGAAATCTGTCAATATTTGTAGGGTGTTTAGTGTCTGACCCAATATGCTATGTGTTTATTAAATTAAATGTAAGTAAAAATAAAGTGCATTTCTAATGCTATTTATATATATATTATATTTCTGAATATTGTCTTTTTAGTATAAAAACCAATTTAGGCCTAATGCCTTCCATGTTTGTTTTTCTCCTTTGGCCTTTTCATGACTATTAATTATTGGAATGTTGCTGATTAATTTATTATTTTCAGTAGAAACCCTAAGGCCTTTAAACCATAGATTTTCTTTTTCCTCACCCAAAACTCCTGAAAGGATAGAAAGTATTTATACCAGGACAGAAAAACATTTAAAATTTTTAACTTAGATTTTTCTACACAGCTAATATGTATGTATTCTATTTCTCCTCTCTCTCATCAAAGTATACTATTATCTTTAGCCATTGGTGTTAGAACATTTGAATAAGTCAGTATTTTTATTCGGAAGGCACTATTTTTGAATAAAAAAACATGTTAAGACTTTGTCCCCTGAATATTCATTTCTTTATCATATATAAGTAATCATTGTCTTTGCAAACACAGTGACTGCAAGATAGGTGCTTCCATTTTCTTCAAACTAGAGAGGTTTCTATTGTTTTATTGTTTTTGCTTTTATTTCAGAAAGAGCATATTTAAAACATTAGGAATGTTATTACATTTGTTGTAATAATGTTCTTACATTTTTTTGAAGTCTTAGAGACTCTTCTCTGATTTATATATGTATTTAGTGGTCTTTTTGTACTAATATACCATTGCATTTGGAAAACATTATTGTCTTTCTATTAAAGAACTAGATACCTAAACAGTTCTTGATCAACGTTCCCTCCTTGGGAACTGGGTTATATTCAGAATATATCAGGGTTGTCTTCAATATGTCCATTTCACTTCTCAGGAAATATGCAGATCCTGAAAACAAAGTGCTTCTAGGAGGCTGGAGACCCTGTTTAGGACTCATGAATTTCACCTGGATTCCCCACTCCCTGTCTTTTAATTCATGGACTTTCATTCAGGGAAGAAAAAAACAGATCATCTTCAGTAGTAGAATGTCATCAAATGCTTGGGCGACAAAGTGGAAGTTTTGACCATCCTTTTTTGTCCAAAGAAAAAGAAAAGAAATAGCAAATGATGAGCCAGGGTAAGGAGAGGCTCTCAACTCAGAGGTGCCTGTCACTGCCCTGAGTTAGCTTCCTGGAAGCAGAGCATCACAGAGTGTATTCAGCCACCAGGGGGTGGCAGTACCCCTTGTGTCTACAGAGCCTCTGCTGGGGGGTGGGGGAAGGGGCACATTAAAGAAACAAAACCTCCCCCTGCTGGACCTTCAGCTCACCCTAAGAAAAAACACCTGTTTTCTGCCTTTAACCAGACCAGGGTTCTAACCAGTTTGATAGACGAAGTATCAAACCAGAAATGGGGAATTAAGCAGTTTAATAATCTTTCTTTAAGTTCAAAGGCTTGCAGATGTCCTCATATCATTAAAAAAATTCTGAGTCCTATGGATCCAACCTCAGTGACAACCAGCTGCTGGGACAGATGGCAGCAGACAGACGGTCTTCCCTCTGAGCCCCAGTTGGAGGTTACTCTTACCTTTGTTAGCACACACTCCACCTCAGTTTAATCATTCAGTCCCCAGAGGGTTGTTAATTTAAAAGAGACAAGGATGCTTAATTCTCTCTTTGAATAAGGAATCCAGCAGCACTGTGAGGTTTTACTTTATCTTTTGAATAATGGGGAAAAAATGTCAAAGCTCTTCCTTAAAAATAAGGCTCACAAGTATTTATTTAAAGGGGGGAGCAGCAGAGGGAGAAGGAGAGAGAGAATTTTAAGCAGACTCCACACCCAGCGCGGAGCCCAACATAGGGCTCCATCCCATGACCCTGAGATCCTGACCTGAGCTGAAATCAAGAGTTGGACACTTAACTGACTGAGCCACCCAGGTGCCCCCGCTCACAAGTATTTATATCATTGACAAAATAGATATATGAATTTCAATGTTATAACTAAGGCTAATATTATTAAAGCAACCAATCAGAAGCCCATACTTTTAGGGAATATGTTACAAACCATAGGATGACTTTTACCTAACACAGTTCTGAGACTCTGTTGGAGAGACTGAGAGAACTACATTCCAACCAGGCGAGCACACAGTTAAGCAGTCAACTCAGGCTTTCCCCTCCTGAAAGTCCCACTCAGAGACAAAGGTCTTTCTAAGTTTAAGTAGTTTATAATAAGACAGAATGCCACACTGCTCCGAGAAAACAGTTATTTACCGTAAGAAAAAAAAATTCAAATCAAGACAATGGAACTATTCGTCATGGAAAATTTATTTTTTAAAAAAGCCCTGTGTTGTGTTTAGGTTTCAGGGAAACTAGGAATCACCTAGCTTTATCATTTCTGAGGCCTCAGAAAGAGGAACAAGTGAAATTGCTTATCTTCAATGTCAGGAGTGCAGGAGTTAAGCTGATTTTGAGACTTACTGTAATTTCATAATAGCCATTGTTTTATACCTTTAATTATCTGAAACAAGACTTGTCGAATTGTAATCATGAAAGGTACTAATACATATTTCAGAGTAGATAAACCAATATAGTGAAATGTTTGAGTAGGGAAACAGATCTAACATTATACCGAAACTTAGGATGAACTTGATATCTTAATTCAGTAGAAAAATAATAGAGTATTTTATAAAAATGAAGTCAGGATAAATGCATATTGTTCTGGAAGACAAAAAGATTGCTGCATCACCTCATTTACATGAGTAAAATCCAGGTAGAGTAAGCATCCAAAATTTAAATATGTATATATCATTTTATTATCTTTATGTGAAAGTATATATATGTGATAAGAATTGAGAATAACAATTGAATAAACTTGAACAATACCAAAAAAACAATTGTAAGAAAAATATTTGATTACTTTCAAAATTATATATGGCATAAATCACTATAAATGTAAGCTAGAGAGAACCAATATAATAGATAACAATTTGCAACCATATAATAGATAACAAATTAATATCTAATATAAGAAGAATTTTACAATTAAAAAGATAAACATTCTGGGTGCCTGGGTGGCTCAGATGGTTAAGCGTCTGCCTTCGGCTCAGGTCATGATCCCAGGGTCCTGGGATAGAGTCCAGCATCAGGCTCCCTGCTCAGCGGGAAGCCTGCTTCTCCCTCTGCCTCTCTCTCTCTCTGTCTCTTATGAATAAATAAATAAAATCTTTTTTAAAAAAAGATAAACATTCAAATAAGAAATTGGATAAGCCAACAAATAGACAATTACAGAGAAAAAATTGCATATACCCAATAAAAATATGAAAAGAAGTTCAGTCTCACAGGTATTCAAAGACGTGCAAATAAAAAAATTATAAATTAAGTTTCTTTCATCAGATCAGCAAAATTTTAAGCATTCAGTGTTAAAAACATTTTGATAAAGCAAACTTACACATCAGCAATAAAAGTGTCTGTTTTAACAATTGGACAGTAATCTGGCAGTAAATGATCACATTTAAATACCAATAATGTTTAACCTAGAAATCTCACTTTTATGATCTATATCCTGTAAAAAGAAGTATATATATCAATTTGTAAAAACATATACACATATAAGCACATAATAATGTACATAAAACACTTTCATTGTAGTCAATAACTACAGAAATAATAAAGGAAGATGTTTCTAGTTTGAAGATAGTCTTGAATCAGTAGAGTGAAAAGAGTTACAGAATTTTAGGCAGAACTGATGCATCCATCTAGGCTTATTCTGAAAAAAAAAAAAAAATCTTTAAATTCCATGACAGAAAGTAGCGCTATATAATAGTTTTTATTAGATCTTTTACCCTTCTTAAATGGAGAGAAAACTAGGTTCTAGACACTGTTCTAATAGTTTTACATATGCAGTTTGACTTTATTCTGTTTTTATAACTGACCATCTTCTGTTGTTCAGTCCCAGAGATTTGAAGTATCAATATAGCATTTGGAAGCTACCTGGAA